TAGGGCTAAGATTAGGCTTAGGGTCAAGGTTAGAGTTAGAGTTATGACTTTACTTTTGGTTAATTTTTGATTTTAGGATTTTGGTTACGTTTCGGTTTTGAGGCTTAGGGTTAGGCTTTACGGTTCTGGTCAACGTTGCATTTTAGGGTTGAGCGTAGGGTTTAAATTTCTGCCATTATTTCCCCTTAAAACTTCCCAGCACTTTCCCTAGTAACTTTACTTTTACTGAGAACCCCCAGCATTCCTCTACCAGCCCTTCCATTTACCCCACCCTTATAACCCCCCTTTCCCGTACGACAGGGACCTGGCTGTCCGCCTCGTCATTCCTGGCTACCAACTGCGATCTAACCAAAATTTAATAAGAGGCGCGGGTCCATTCGGCAACTAAGTGCGAATTCGGAGTTCCAATAAAGACGAAGTGCAGCTGAGCGTTTGGAAATAAACGACACTATTGTCTTCTTGGAATCTAAGCATGAAAAATTTCGTCACCAAAAAAGGATAGCTCCACTTGAACGCAATGGGTCAGAGGTTGAACAGATATGCGAAACAGCAGGCAATGTGTAAAAGATATAGCCGTATAATTTTGAGCACAAAATGAACGGAGTCATTTTTAAGACAGCGGACGCAAGCATAAATGCAAAAGGTGACCGGTGACTAACACGCAAGAGTGCTTGCACATGACAGATATAGGGTAAAAGGAATATGCGGAGGCGTCCCAGTGATATTTTACTACAGCATTACCTATTAATATAAAGAGATAATGATAGAGTCGCTTAGTACTTGAATGTTTCCGCAGGAGACAACAACCGAAAGGGAATCGTTGATGTCCACACAGTAGAAATTCCAATTTTGCCTTAAGTTGTTATAGTTATTGGTTTTCAAGCTCTCTAAGAAGTGTTTGAAGGAACTAGTGCTGTGAGAACAATGAGGGGCGTGGTTCATTTTAATCATTCGCGACGTCATCTGAGAGACGGAAACAACGGCCTCCCTTGTTTGCAGACAGTTGATAGATATTATTTCTCCGGAATGCAAAAAGCCAGTGCATTCCAGTACATAGTACTGAATTCACAATTATAGTGCGATAACGGTGGTTTCATGAAGCGTGACGTGGGAGCTAAGGCGCAGGTTGTGTGAAAACAGCAAAGCAGACGGAAGTAGATTTTTTTGGTCATATAATCACCTAGCGTCTTTCCTTTTCTGTTAGGCGTAACAGGTGTTGGGTGCATAGGATGGCTATTCTGTTTTGAAAACCAGATGTTAAAATGTAGGACCGAAGTCTGGAATAAAGTCATCGAAGATACTTTCACATGTTTAACGGCGGTATCTGAAGGTAAAGTAAGTTCTTGCCTATCGTATATGGGATCATTTGAACGGCCTTACACGTTGCTTCTCCAGATTTATATCCATATGACCAGAGGAAACAGCAGGCTATCATAACTAACATGAAACACTTCTAGTATGTTACATATCTCACGATATGTCCCGAATTTCGCAAGGTGAATTCCTGTGACGAGAAATCGGCCAATTCTGAGTCCCCAATATTTCGTGACGTCAAGAAAACGATTTCCTTGAAGAGTTTCGTCTATATATTATTTACGGACTTAGAAGCAGTTTTTTGTTTTAACGTAAACTAAAATTTTTAGAAAACGAGAATATTATGTGTCACCCAACTGGCTAATCTGCAAATGAAGGATTTAAAGCTGAATCCACCTCTAACTTCTTAAAAACAGTGGGACTTCTAATACCTGGCCCTTCTTGACATCCATTTACGTAAGGTCCGATTTTCCGGTCCCAGAAGGGAATCGGTCGAAAAATTGTATTGCTTATACCAAAGTTTCGACCATCGCAGACAGCAATGCCCAGTAGGTGCCTCAGCACACAGGAGCATAGCAATGACTTAGGCAACACTTGCCGCGCTCTTTTCTCCATCATCCGATGGCAAGATGCGGAACGGTGGCCGGCAAGGGTAAGCATCCTGTCTACGCGTGCCATAGATGTCTTGTTCGAGCAGGACGGGCCGGGTCCTCACAGGAGCAACGGAGCGCCAAGGACCCTACCTGAGTGGGAGTGCAATTTCGGTCATATTAAGGAATCACTGCAGTCTAACTTTCCGTTCTGAGGGAACCGAGTTATCCCACCAGTTGGCAGCCGTTCATGTCGCGACTTTTGGCACGTGGTGATAGTTCAAAAGTGTAAACGCTTGCCTATGGTAGAGAGCGCTCTGATGTGACGTTGGGGTGGGGGTCAGCCTCACGCTGTTTTCAGTTTCCCATGTCTCAGTTGACTTTTCGAGCCAGTCAGTCAACTGATGTTGAGATTGGGCACAAGCAACTGACGAAATAAACAATCCATATATGCGTCACATCCAATCTGGTTTCCTGCACAACACATCTGGTTTTCATACAAAAGGAGGGGAAGTTATTGTATATCAAAAAATACGCAAACAGGAGACCTTGGCCTGTGATTTGAAGCTGACTTAGCGTGCTGTCTTCCTTTAAAAAATACAATTGAAATGAGTCGTTTTTTAGCAAAGTATTTTCTGAACATTGAATTGATCGAAGAAGCAAAATAACAGCAGTGGATGTAAGCCAAACTGACCAAACATGCATATGTCGTTAACGAAATTCCACTACTCAACCGACTACCGCGCGTAATACATTGCTACCCGTGCTAATCATGAAAGCTAGCAATAAAATACTGTAAATGCCTTTAAGTGCAATCATATTCGGCTAAATGAAAAGCATAAGTCTTTAAAACCACACTTGTTTGTCTGACTAATAACAGGTAATTTTTTAATATCACATAATTACAGCGTATTCGCTACTTTGCAAATTTCAGAGGGAAATCTTGTTGTACTTGCAGGATATGGACAGAAATCCCAACTACGATTTATCAGATCAAGAACTGTTCAAAACCCGAGACCTGCAGCAAAAGTACGAGAGATAATGCATCATCTAAGTCGCCGGTGCATGAGGGTGCTCTCAAATTACAAAAACGACCTGCTAGAGATTTTTCCTAACAGCTACCTGGTGCTTATGGATGACATTGAAATTTGGGCAGGAAACGTGACCATGTTTAAATTTATGTAGAACTTGTTCAAGTGTCTTCATCGAACGGCCAACAAGATTACTGTTGCGCGCAGCCGGCACGGCCAGTCTGGCGTCATTGTTCAAAGCCTCGCTGCCTTAAGGTCATTCACCCCCTGCAGCGAGCCGTTTCAGACGAGCTGGCTTGAGGCCACTTGACCGACTTCAGCTTGAACATACTTTCGTCCGTATAGGGTTGCGACTACCCATGCGTCAAATGAACGTGCAACCACTCTGCAGTCAGCAACATAAGCCACTGGGACATCATCCCTCGGCAAATGCAGACACACACACACCGATTGGAGACCACTTGAGCTTGGATCACGAACATACACAAGCGGCTGCCACCACTCTCCCAAAACCCTCAGGCATGACTGGACGCAGTCAAAACCAGCTCTAACTTCGCCAGCGGCCACTGCCGTCTGAGGGGACAGTTATGGGTCCTGTATAAAATAAGTCCTTCATCTTGACAAATGCTGTCTTCTTAAAACTTGTGATTGAACAGGAAGATTGTAGCACACTGAGCACAGACTACACACAGCTCCACCTAGCCGCTACATTACGAGGATCAGATCATTACGTGGACTAGATCAGCTGCAGCTCCAAAAATGTCAGCCGTTGTTAACTTATGACTACCAAAAATGCTTGCAAGCAACTTTCATGGCTCTTGAGCAATGTCTTCCTACCAGAAGGCGCTCCCATGAGAGTGCAGATGACATAGAAGTATTGGAAGAAGCTTATAACCACACAGAAAAATTTCATTATTCCATCTGCAATCTACGTTTGAATAAAGGACTGGATAATTTAGAGTTTTTACGTTACATTCCAGGCTGTAATACACAAACTGAGGAACGCAACTAATTATTTGGCGTGCATTAAAATATATTTTGCAAACGTTATCATGCGAAATAAGTGGGAATCATCTTGAAGTCTGTTAAAGCCAAGAGTGGAAAAATAAGTTCGAAGAGTAGCATATGTCATTAATCATTGTAAAATGTTTTACTCTGAGTCGTCAGTGCGTGAAAAGGATACAATGGTCCGTGATAACATAACGGAAATATACAAATTACCTTAAACCTTATTTGTGTTTTTGATGACCCACCAGCAACTGCCTCTCAGTTAATCACATTTTTGGTGTCCGCTAAGTATTCGAATGCCAAATTTTTTAGGTATAATTATACCTGCAGGTTCTGGCAGAGATGCATAAATATGTACAGATATCTTTATATTTATGGGGCACAACACTCTGACTTGGACTATATAAACTGTGGGAAAAAACTTGCAAAAAGCGATCTGATTGTGATTTCTGGAATACTGGATTAAGGGCACCGTTTATGTTAATTTATTTCAAAACAATATAAACAAGGAAGTTTGGCTACACTGTTAATCTCAAGCAAAGACGCCCAAGAGAAAACATAAAAAGTTACCCATAAGGACGTTGTTTAAAATGACGGGAATAATTAGATAACTTACTTGTTTTAAGGAGAAAATAAATGGATCAACGAGATCACAAGGGCCGAGTATCGAAAATGAGCCAGCCTGTAATTTGCACGAAACTGATAAATCCAAACAAATTCTAAGTTGCAGGACTGGGGACAATGGAAGTGTTGAAGTCATGACTAATATGCATAATTTCCGTTAAAAAATATTCATGAGGTTCTGATAGGGGTTAAACAGATCTGCAACCTTTTTCTCTGAATTCTGATTCGCTGGGGATCTCGACTGTTCTGCCACGTACTCAGAGTGCAATCTGCACCATACGAATGCCATGATAAAAACTGGAGTGCTTATAAAAACCCCAGGACGTGTTTCTGTTAATAAGGAAAGCACATTCAGTCTATTCACTTCTGAGCAGTTTCCTATTAGCACAAGGTTCCGTCATGAAGACAAAGTGAAAGAGCGGTTGAATGGGTCATGGTACAGTCACGAGGGCTCATTGTCATTTATTTTTAGCACAACTAGTTAATAATGCTGTAATTCTTCACATTAAAAGAGGCGTGGATACTTTTTAGGAGGAGGCCAGCCTGTAGAAACGATCAGCAAGTAAGCTCTTTCTAGGTCCTCGAACTCGCTTGTAGAGCGACAGATGGCCGTCGGCAGCCAATTTCTACTATAATTCGCCTCCTGTCACAGTTGTTCGCGTTTTTCTCACAACAAAGGGCCTTGTCTATTATTATTATTATCACTACTACTACTACTACTACTACTACTACTACTACTACTACTACTACTACTACTACTACTACTACTACTACTACTACTACTACTACTACTACTACTACTACTACTACTACTACTACTACTACTACTACTACTACCTTCACTTCCACCTCCATCACCACCATTATCATCACCATCCAATGTAGGCCACAGTAATGTCTGGTACCCTTCTAACTTCCAATTATGATATTGCATTCTCCTGCAGTTTGAAAATCTTATTACACTGTCGTTGGAAGAATGTAGTGTGCGGTGTCATTTTTGACTTCATTCTGTCCGATTCCTCGCGGATGGCAACAAAATTTGGCCAGAAGTCCTTAAACAACGGCATTAAATATCATCTGAGATTAATTTGTTAGGCGTTGAGAATGGGAAAAACTTAGCGTATTTCTGAAGGTAATAAGGAAATACTTAGAAAACCCATTTTTCGCATGTCGATCTGTTTAAGATAACTGTACATGGATTTCGAATAGACAGTCACCATGAAATCAATATTCACAAAGTTTGTGTAGAAATGTTCTTGAGGTAATTGTCTGTGTGTTCTAGTGTAGCCTTTAATTTTGCCTGTTGAGGGATCACTTATACTCATCCAAATGCTCCTTGACAAGCTGCAGCGACGTCGCCTCTACAACTGATTGGGTGAGATATTTCCATTTTTCCACTACCCAGTGTGTGAAGAACTCAGACCGAACATAGTCACGCGCAGTTCCTCTAAATGCCCATCAAAAGGTAGCGAGAGGTGCAAGAAAAAGGTGTTCACAGAAAACAGCGCTTTATGAGGTTATGTAGCACCTTACCAACCAGGATAAGATATCCCGCTTGCTGCTCGTAACTCAAATGACATATGCTCAAGCACTTCAGGTTTTCTGGATGAGATAGGAATAATCAAAGTTTGATCAGTGTTTTCGCTCGACTCCGCACCCTCTCAAGATTTATTCTTTTCATTGCAATTTATGAACTTCGTGCAGACATATTTCATTCTAATTTACAACGAATGAATGTGTCATGCACTCTCCCGAAAATGTTTTCATCTATAACCACGATCGTCAATTTGATAGCGTGAAGTGTCGCCTTAGCGTTTTTCGGAGCCTTGGTGCATCGCAATGATCGTTTTTAAATCACAACATATCTAAGTATGACGATCTTTCTGCGAAGACCTTATCGGCAAATGAGCGCCCTTCCGATAACACGGTCTTATCCTTTTTTTGAGTGGCATTTAGGTGAGTGCAGATGGACGACGGCACGCTTGGTACATCGAAATTAATCAGCGATCACTTGGATCAGATGTTCAGCCGGTGCAGTTTATTTAAAAGAACTGCCAGGTCATTTGAGCCTTTAGACACTTACCAGAGTCTATCGTCACCAGTCAATATGATCTTACCCCGGTCTAGTTTATAAAGGCTGTAGTTAAAATACCGTGTGGAGAATAATGTATCGAGTACGGATTTCGAGGAGGGCACTTTTTAAAATTAATCTAGTTCGATTAGCCCCATCACACAAACACGCGTTTTTCAGACAAATAGAGGTGCCTTTATGCAGGTCAGAAACTTTCCACTGCTGCTAAAGTTGTTTCGATTGAGCAAAATACGTTGACGCGGGACACAATTGCGGGCTTCGTAAAAATCTATATGTGCTTTACACAGTTTGAACCTTGGCTGGGCCTTTAGCTCAGACTTTCAGAGAAGTCAGGCGATTCAAGGAACGTGAAAATCCCAGCCAAAAACCAAGACGAAAATTCGGTACTATGTCATTTCCAATACAAAACCTGAACTGCATGATGATTCTCAGGGACTTCTGTTGCTTTTTGATAAAGTGAGGACAAATTGGTTGGTTTAAAGTTGTTTGCAACCATTGCTTACCTCCTCCTTATACGCAATTACGATGGCTGTTTCCCCTTAGAAGACAAACTATCTGTTAACGTTCAGAGCTCGAATAGAAATGAAAGAGGGATCACTAGATCGGTGGAGAATTCTTCAAATGTCACTCTGGGAAACTTGCTTGAGTTACGTTGACCGAAACTCACCTTAGCCCTCGAAAGTAAGGGGAAAAGTTTCAAACCCGTTATCGTCTTATCTCCTCTTATGCTATGAGGAGCCTTTAAGTGTTCTGCCACAAACACCCGTTGTAAGAACCAGGAAAAAATTTCTTATTTATGGCGCCCTTGAGATAATACATCTTTGACGCTAAAATGGAATAAAGCGATTCCATCCTTTTTCATTCTCTTGGTGCTTATGTGCCCCTAAATACATCTTGAGGCATACAATAACTTCCCTTGTCTGTCGCTGCTTTGAGGATCTTCTGGTAATCCGTATTTGACAGTGACCACGTATTAATTCATTGTTGCTTACCGCTTGCCTTTTCAAAAAAGACAAGCGCATTTCGGACTTACATGAACTACGACTGCGTAGATAGCGACTTAATAAATAACTATATGAGATCCTTGGATTGGTGTGGCTTCCTCCCATGCTAAATGATAACACAGTCTTCCTCACCGATGAGAGTGACAAGGCGGAGTTGTTTAGTGCTTTCTTTGCAAAACACCTTGCTACCGAGTCCGATCCGGTCCCTTTCTTTCGATCACTTTCAGATAGGACACTTAGTACAATTGATGTCTCCTCAGATCTCATTTAGAAACACATAAGCCGTTTGAAATACTCACACTGCTCAGGAACGGATGGGATTCCGAATTCGATTATTAAACAAGCGTCCGACTTTCCCATATTGCTCAGTCATTTATTCTCGGTTTAAATTTCAAAAGGATTCTTTCCGGGAACATGGAAAACGTCAATTATCATTCCCGTTTTCAAGTCCGGATCTCGGTCCAATGTTAATAACTATCGCGGCGTGCACAAAACGCCGTCTCTAGCAAAACTTCTTGAAAGGATTATTTTCAATGAAATTCTTGACTTCTGTCTAGCTAATCGGCTTCTGAGCTCTAGTCAGCATGGATTTTTACCTGAACGATCCTGCGAAACATGTCACTTGGCTTTTCTTAATCTAATCCAGTGGTAGTTATTTACTTTGATCTTAGCAAAGCCTTTGACAAGGTGCCCCATAGACGTCTTTTAGTAAAATTGGAAGCTCTCGGCATCCGGCCGCCTCTACTCGATTTCATCAGGTCCTATCTGTCCAACCGATATCAGAAAGTCATGGTCGGTAATAGCTCCTCGACACCCCACTCGATCACGAGTGGTGTACTTCAAGGCACGGTTCTGGGTCCGCTACTCTTCCTTCTGTACATCAATGATATTTCGACTGAACTCGGAAATTCGCAAACTTTTACTTATGCCGATGACCTCAAGTGTGTTTACTCATACTCAAAGGACACCGCAAATGTTTGTGTTGAAAAAATTAATGCCGATTTACTACGCTTAAGCAGATGGGGTTCGACATGGCAGATGGAGTTTTCATCATCCAAGTGTAGTTTCATGTCTTTTGGCCCTACCAAACTTCCTGGTCCCATAATTTTTCAGAATAACCCACTCTCAGAATGCCTCACCATAAAGGGCCTAGGTCTAAGTTATACAAATAAGCTTGCTTTATCACCTCATGCAGATAGAATCTCTGCCAAAGCCGCGCAGATATGTGGATTCATATCGCATAATTATTTCCTTCCGGAAATAAAGCTAAGACTTTATCAAATGTTTGTTCTTCCAGTCCTCGAATACTGCTGTCCTTTCTTCGGTTTAATGAACGCCTGCGACCGTAATAAAATCGAAAATGTTCAGAGGGTTTTCACCCGGAAACTGTTCTCTGAAGCTTCGTCTGGTATTTCTTATACTCAGTGATGTCAGCTGGCGAACATGAAGTTTTTGTGGGTAAGAAGACTCGAAGCTGGCCTTTGCTTCCTTTTTCGCGTCAACTCTAGCTCCAGTCTTCCGCACATTGACACTCTCACTCCGAGAGATCGGTCTTATGCCATGCGCAACTCCTGCATGGTGATTCCGCCGCCTCTTTGTACTACATCTAAGCGCTCCCTTTCTTTGCTTCCAAATATGCCTTCCTTTGGAATAATCTTCCGCCTGAAATTAGATTATCGCCTAAGTTACTGGTATTCAAGTCGAAATTGCGCAAACAGCTTACACCGGAAAGCATAAAGGCACTGTTAACGGTCTCATTCCCGAACACTCAGATTCTTGACATCGAGAAGGGTCCTCCTGGGATTTAGTGGTCGATTAAGTGGTAACTCTTAATTATATCATTAGAAACCCCTGTTTTGAATTGGTTTCTAAATCCATTGCTATCCTTCCCCCCCCCCCCCGATAGCGACAATTTTCGCGGTTTTTGATGTCATCTCCCGCATTCCGACCTCATGCGGTCTGTCGACACTCACGGCGGAACCCTCAGTATTCACTGTTTACTAGTAGTTCGGTCGTACCTCCCTTCCTCACTGCTCGGCTGAGCTCGAAGCGTGCTATGGCCGATCGCATCTGGGTTCCTCTCGTCTGGCCTCTTTGACGCGGCGTACCAATCCGGCCCAGACGATGTCAATTGTGAATCCCGTATACAATGCCATATGCAAGCCAGTCCTATCTTACCCACATTCGTACCCCTCAAGGCTGAGATTTATTGCTACCCTGTCGATGACCGACAACATTTCGTTATATACCACCACCTACAGGCAAGTCTGCTCGCTTTTTTCTGTCATTATTTTTATTGAGGGTTTTTTCCTCCTGTAAAAATTAATCCAACCATTTTTGACATATATTAAGAAGTTTTTTTTTCACTCCTCAATTATCATGTTTCTCAATGGACTAATAATTCAGAAACTATGAATTGCATTTTGTAAAGATTCGGCCTACCTCGTCTAAAACTCGCATGTAGATTTATTTTAACTTGCTTTGATGGGATCCCGACGGGTCTTTAATAAAAAATTATTTATTTATCTATCTATTTGCCTGTAGTATTCTTGAACCTGTTACATGTATTTGACAAATTATGTGGGATTTCAAATTTGGGATTGGCTATCCCACAACCTTTGTTTCGCTTGAATGCTGCCTTTTGTTGTCGGATTGACCCGCGAAGGTCTAGAATTTGATCTTCTAGTTTTCTTTGGATAGCAGACTTAAATAAGACGCTGTTTAACCACCTAAAGAGGCTGCCAGAAATTTAAGGTATTACTCGTGTCAAATAACCCAACTTCCTCCCA